CTAGCAAATTATTACCTCTGGTAGGCTCAGTTACACACTGTTTCAGAAAGCAGTCCTGAACTACTTCCAGAAAAATCACTGGACTCCAGATTACCAAAGAAATCCAGTCAATTTAACTAAAATTAAAATCCCCCACTATTAGTATGTTGTCGTGTCTAGAAGCCTTAATAATTTCGTCCCAAAGTCTCCCTCTATCGTTATCCCAGCCTGGTGGTCGGTATATTACACCTAAAACTGGTTTTTCTTGACTTTCTAGAAATTCTACTCTCACAGATTCTGTTTCTAATAACATGAAGTTGGATATATTTAGATATGCTTATTGTGCTTATTTAGTTAAAACTCGTGGGTCCTCTTAAAATGTCCCTTCTAGACCTTTTGTGAGAGGGTTGAGCTATACTGTAGCCTTTTAGTTCTCTTTACTGAACTGAGCTGTAGCTCTTAGGTCTCTTAAAGGTATTAAAGAATAACTACTATGTCTTTTGTCTTCATTGAGGACGAGAGGGGCAGGCTGGGGATATGAGATATGCGGGATACCTCTCTCGGATCATTTAGATAAAGGGACTTAGGGCTATGAGATATAGGGAATACTTCTCTTGTCTCGCGCAGCGACCTTTGCTCATCTAGTTTAATTTTTTTACTATCTTCTTAAATGAATGGTGTCCAGATAGTAAAATATTTCACAAAACTATGTTAAAATTTGACTTATCTAATATGTTCTTCCTCAGGTCGAAATGCAAGACCATTTCCTCGCTTCTGCTCCAGATTATTTGTGGATTGCCAGGGATCTCCTCAACATGTGTGCTGTGGCGGGACCTCCTACAGTCTACTGTAACTCTTTGCTGTCAACACTATCGTCTGCTGGTTCCATGCACCAGCATCTGCTTCTACAGCCAACTGCAACTCCAAAAAATAAACAACATTGCAGGTGTCTATATCATATCTCGCAGCAGTTGCGATAAGTTCTACAGAGCAAAAGGCAAAACTTCCAGACATTTCAATACAAGAATAGAAAGCAAGCAATGCGTGCGCTGCACATCATTATATTGACAGTCACTTGATGAATTTCCCTGAATCAGTTATTTAAGAAGCGAAGCGAATAAGCAGATGGTCATTCACCATCCCTGAGCAAAACTGATCCTGTCTAAAACCGAGTGTCATCACCTGAGGATCATCGTGCTCCACGAGCTTGACTTTCGTACTGCTCACTGATCTCACCTTCACCGCTTTATAACCTCATGTATCTCTTGTTTCTAAGAATTGTAAAGTCCCTGGAGGATGAAACGTTCTTAATAAAGTCCACTAATTCGCAAATTATGTCATTATTACCCTAACTACTTCCAACACCATTTTCTGCAAGTGGAAAGCACCCAGGGTGGTAGCAAGCCAAGTAGGCCTCCCAAAAATAAAAATCTGAATTACATTTATTAGGTACAGAGTGTAGATAAATAAATAAAAAGACGCCAATAATGTCCTTTCAGTCATAGTATTGTAAGATCTGCTTCATACATGGACCTGTGTTTGAGTGCCCTTGCATTCATCTCTTTTGTTTTTTCACTGACAATCGTTTACTAAGACTTATCTTGGGTTTTATATCCTTCCAAAAAATATTTCTTTTAAATAAATAAATACTAAAAAAAATAATTTATAATGCTGATTAAAAAAATCCAAAACAAAATATATATCAAGCGATCCTCACAGTACATATAATCGTGACACAAAAACTGGACACAACGATAGATATGAAATTCGTTACATGAAAAAAATCACTAGGTAATATGGCAATAATAGACTAATAAAACTTATGTAGAAATTAAACTTGAGTTTAGCTATGATTCAACAGGCATTCCTCGTGTTTTAGACCCCAGGAAGTAATGCCATAAAAAGGAAGTTTTCGTGCCTAACGAGTTTTCACTGTATTGTTGACTCTGGCAACACGTTGATCTCAGCACAGTTTTTATTTTTCCCACAATACTTAAAGAATGTTCTGTATCTGTAACCGGAAGGGAGTAAATTGTTAAAAAAAAAAATGAAATATTGGTAAGAATTTTTCAGATTTCCTGATTGAATACTTTTTAAATGCTGTAATTCCTTTACCAGATCCAATAACACATCTACGCTATATTACACAAATTTCCAGGATTTTCTTTTGACTCATTATCACTCATTTCACAGAGCAGTGAAATTTTACTCCGGCCGCCATGCTGCTTCATATTGCCTTGCCATGTTTTCAAAAAAAGAGTAATCCAGTAAAACACTAAAAACACTAGTCCCGAATTGATTTTCAAAACTTGCCTAACCATTTCCAGCTCTTTGTTTCGTCTGTGAATCTCTCACTAACCTCTTGTCTTATTTCTGACATTGAGCAACAAACTTCGCCTTCTGATAAGATTACATCCAATAACTTCTTAAAGAAACAGGCTCCTCCATAAAGCTTTCTAAATTTCTTACTTTTAATTCTATTGCTGAACTTCGGAATTGAAGATTTTTCTTTTTGTAGTCAGTAGCTCTTACAACTTTCATGCAAGAGTGAAACCATAAGGATACACCCAAAAGGATTTCTTATAAGAATTCTTCACAGACCTGGAAGGGCTTCAGAGCTGGTGGCCCCAACACTTTTGTCTCTATGTTGCCGGTTGCTCCAGCACGTTTACATCCTTACTCTGCTGGGGGCCTCAGTATGTTTTTCTCCATGTGAATAGTTATAATCATAACCATAATGTTATAATAGGTGGACCGGTAAGCCAGCGGAAGGCCTCTGTCAGATGACCAAAAGCTCCAACGGCGTTGAGAAACACATACCCTGTTTCCTGACAAATCTTACCTACCCTAACCTAACCTCCTTGTAATGCAAGGCGGGTTTAATACGTTACCTTCCGTACAATGCTGGTGGCATTGTAAGGAATGATACTCCAAAAAAGTTCGCCTTCTTACAATGCTGGAGGACCGCATTCCTTTTCCCTGCCTATAGTACTAGTGACTACAGCACATTTCCTTTCATACAATATTGACAGGCCCAACATCTTTTTACCTCTTTAAAAGGCTTGGGATCTCAGAGCGTTTTCCTACTTTCTATCCAGTAGTTCCAACATGTTTCCTTCCTTATATTGCTAGTGAATCCTTGACGTTTCCCTTCTTAGACTGTTGGTGGTTCCAATATGTTTTCCTCTTAATGCTGGTGGATGTAATACATTTCCTTGGTCATAATGCTGGTGACGCCTACGAGTTTCCCGTCAACATCAGGCTTGTTTACCTAATAAGTCTCCCCTCCTTACACTGTTGGTGATCCCATCACGTTTTCTTCCTTATAATGCTGGTGACGTGAACACATTTTCCTCTTTATAATGCTGGTAACTACAACACCTTTCCTTCATTTTAATGCTGATTTTAGGCCGCTTTTATTTTCTTTTAATGTTGATGGCCTCATCACGTTTCCCTCTTTTAATGCTTAACAAGTTTCATCTCATTATGTTGTAGTCCCAACACGTTTCCTCTCTTACACTGCTGGTGACCTCAGGGTCTTTCCTTCTAATGCTTGTGGGCCCAGCAGTTGGCTTGAAGGATGGTACTTCTTACTTTGTTTCAAGGTTCATAGGTTCGAGTTTCCTCTGGGTTGAGGTAAACGTTTGTAAATAATGGGTGCTTCTGCAAATTATATATAATATATATATATAATATATATATATAATATATATATATATTTATATATATATATATATATATATATATATATAATGTCGTGCCGAATAGGCAGAACTTGCCATCTTGGCTTAAATAGCAACGCTCATTTTGCCATATAGGACAAGTGAAAATTTGTGTATGCAATAATTTCGTCAAAATCATTCTGAACCTAACGAAAAAAAAATTGTTTCACTGTTTTTGTTTAGTATAAATTATTGTAAACAAATCTAAATATTTTATTTGGGTTAGGCTAAAATAAATTTTTCTTGTTATAATAAGGTTAGGTAAGTTTTCTAAGATTCTTTTGGAGCAAAATTAAAATTTTTTACATTAAATTAATGAAAAAAATTCTTTTTAAACGTATAAGAGAAAATTTTAGAAAGTTCTTAATTTTAAATGAGTTATTGCTAATTGACCAGTTTTACATATTCGGCACGACATTTATATATATTATATATATATTTATATTATATTATATATTATATATATATATATTAATATATATAATATATGTCGTGCGAATAGCAGAACTTGCGATCTTGGCTTAAATAGCAACGCTCATCTTGCCATATAGGACAAGTGAAATTTGTATATGCAATAATTTCGCAAAATCACTTGAACCTAACGAGAAAAATATACTTCAATGTGTTTCTTTAGTATTAAATTATTGTAAACAAATCTAAAATATATTTAGATGGGTTAGGCTAAAATAAATTGTTCTTGTTATAATAAGGTTAGGTAAGTTTTCTAAGATTCTTTTGGAGCAAAATTAAATTTTTTTACATTAACATTATTGAAAAAAATATATCTTTAAACGTATAAGAGAAAATTTTAGAAAGAACTTAATTTTAAATGAGTTCTTGCTAAATGACCAGTTTACATATTCGGCACGACAAAATATATATATATATATATATATTATATATATATATATATATATATATATATATATATATATATATATATATATTTCATTTATCTATTTCCTTTTCCAGTAATTTTATTCCGATAATATTATTTGCATTTAAAGTAATAGTAGCAGTAATGGGAGAAAGAGGAGTTATGCCAATAGCAGCAGGACTAGCAACATTAATAATTGTGTGAGTAATTAACAGTAGCAGTGCAAGCTGCAGTAACAGTAGTAATAGTAGTAGTAACTATAAGTATTAGCAGTACCAGTAGCGGTAGCAGCAGTATTTCTCGTGAATATAATACAAAAAAAAAACTATGTAGAAGTTGAATACCTAGCTCATGTACACAAAACCGGTTTTGTCAGGTGGGGTATTCCCAGCTTGTTTTTATATACTTGTGACGCTGTTCCTACTCTAGTTTTTATATATTTATAAGTGCATGGAGCATCAGTGTGTGTGGAGTAACACAAGAGTCAGCAGCAACACGCTCACTCCAACATCTAAGTCGGAGGCAACATTTTTCAACATGAACAGGTGAAGTGTTAATAAATCAAGAACATGTTATTAATGGTTGCTGTGCAGACATCACCCTCATAGCGGGTGTATCTCTGCTGGGACACAGCTGTTGTTGGAAGACATTTCTTTAGACGAGACTTGATTACCCCAGAATGCTTAAATTCTGTATGGCCCATGCAGGTTTAGCGTTTCCTCGTGAACGCATTGATCTACTGACGTCACATGATGTTTACTAGTGGCTTTTTTTCAAATGCAAGGAGTATATATATTCATAATATTTATCAAGCTTTCAAATGTTGCATAATAACTCCTACTGGAGTAATCATATTATTATTTGTCAATTGTTCTCCCATAGAAAAAATCTACACTACTGACTGAATGATGAGGGAAGACATGATTGAAATTTATAAAGTGGGATATCTTCCTGTCCACTCCAGTGGAGTGGACAGATGAACATTAACAAAGAAGATATAAACAAAGTCCTGGGAAAATCCCTCCAAGACAGAACACGCAATAATGGATTCAAATTAGATAGGTTTAGATTTAGAGGGGATATAGGAAAGTATTGATTGGGAAATAGGGTAGCTGATGAGTGGAACAGTGCATGAGTGAGAAGGGTTGGATTTAATCGGGACTTACACCCGAGTTAAAAGGATTATCAAAGCTTATTGCTTTGGGTTGGGAAAATATTTTTGTTAGTGGGTTCGGATTTAATAAGGACCTGCCCAGTATGGGCCAGTAGACCTACTGCGGTGTTCCTCTTTTATGTTCTTATGATATAGACTGAAGATATATATAAAATAGTTTGAGTATTACAGGTGTTTTTCTCTTTTATTATTTTAATGGTGTTTACCGAATAATAATATATTTATCTTCTGTGAGTCGCTCATTCTCCACCTATCTACCTTTCCACGGTGTTCACGACTCAAGGGTCCGGCTCCCTGATGGGACCACTCAGATGATGGCACGCCAACGAGATGAGATGTATAAGGACACATGCACCATGAAAGCTTATGGGTTACAATTTATACCCCTCATACAACTATGTCACGTAAGTGCTGGTTGGTAAAATACTTCCAACTGTAAGCTCTGTGGATGAATGGTTGCAACGTTGGTCCTACTGTATATATGGGCTACGGATCAAGTCATCCTCGTCGTCCCACTACACACAGTGGTAAAATTATCCACAGCAAATTCAACTTGTAATAAAATGATCAAGAGAGACTTCTTTTGCAGGTCATATTTGACGCTGGTGGTGTCCCTCTTGGTGGTGTTCAGCGCCCTCCTCCATCCTACCTATGCTAATGCCTTGGGATCAAACATACGTGAGCACATTATTCTGTACTTAGCTAACTTGACTGCTGAGCTCCTGCTCCTAAACCTACCTTCTTAATCTTCAATCGCGTTTTGAGTTTTTAGCCCCTTAGATATTGTTTTATGGAGATTATCTGGTTTAAAAACCATACAAGACCTATGCTTACGGTATCTTGCTTTCAGTAAATATGGAATCTTACATTTTTAAATATCTATAATGTATTGTACCAACTAACACTTTTTAATTTATTTTATTGCTCTAAGAGTTTGTGTTATTCTTGGTTCAGGTTCTATAAAATCTTTGTCTACCCTCGTACACCCCTACCCTCGTACACCCCTACCCTCGTACACCACTACCCTCGTACACCACTACCCTCGTACACCCCTGCCCTCGTACACCCCTACCCTCGTACACCCCTACCCTCGTACACCCCTACCCTCGTACACCCCTACCCTCGTACACCCCTACCCTCGTACACCCCTAACCCTCGTAACACCCCTGCCCTCGTACACCCTACCTCGTCACCCCGCTACCCCTCGTCACCCCCTACCCTCGCACACCCCTACCCTCGCACACCCCTACCCTCGCACCCCTACCCTCGTACACCCCTTACCCTCGTACACCCTACCCTCGTACACCCCTACCACTCGTACGCCCCTACCCCTCGTACACACCCCTACCCTCGTACAACCCTACCCTCGTACACTCTACCCTCGTACACACCCTACCCTCGTACACCCCTACCCTCGTACACCCTTCCCTCCGTACACCCCTACCCTCGTACACCCCTACCCTCGTACACCCCTTACCTCGTACACCACCTACCCTCGTAACACCCCTACCCTCGTACACCCTACCCTCGTACACCCTACCCTCGTACCCCCTACCTCGTACACCCCATACCCTCGTACACCACTACCCTCGTACCCCCTACTCTCGTACCCCCACCCCTACCCTCGTACACCCCTACTCTCGTTACACCCCTACCCTCGTACACCACTACCTCGTACACCCTACCCTCGTACACCCCTACCCTCGTACACCCCTACCCTCGTACACCCTACCCTCGTACACCCCTACCCTCGTACAACCCCTACCCTCGTACCACCCTACCTCGTACACCCCTACCCTCGTACCAACTACCCCCTACCCTCGTACACCACTACCCTCGTCACCCTACCCTCGTACACCCCTACCCTCGTACACCCTACCCTCGTACTACCCCTACCCTCGTACACCCCTACCTCGTACACCACTACCTCGTACACCCCTACCTCGTACAACAACTACCCCTCGTACACCCATACCTCGTACACCCCTACCCTCGTACACCCCTACCCTCGTACACCACTACCCTCGTACACCCTACCCTCGTAACACCCATACTCTCGTACACCCCTACCCTCGTACACCCTACCCTCGTACACCCCTACTCTCGTACACCCTACTCTCGTACACCATACCTCGTACACCCCTACTCTCGTACACCATACTCTCGTACTACCCCTACCCTCGTACACCCTACCCTCGTACACCCCTACCCTCGTACTACCCCTACTCTCGTAACACGTCCCTACCTCGTAACACCACTACCTCGTACACCCTACCCTCGTACACCCATACTCTCGTACACCCCTACCCTCGTACACCACTACCCTCTCGTACACCCCTACTCTCGTACACACTACCCTCGTACACCCTACCCTCCGTACACCCTACCTCGTACACCCTACTCTCGTACACCCCTACCCTCGTACACCCACTACCCTCGTAACCACTACCCTCGTACACCCCTACTCTCGTACACCACTACCCTCGTACACCACTACCCTCGTACACCCCTACTCTCGTACACCCCTACCCTCGTACACCACTACCCTCGTACACCCCTACTCTCGTACACCCCTACCCTCGTACACCCCTACCCTCGTACACCACTACCCTCGTACACCCCTACCCTCGTACACCCCTACTCTCGTACACCCCTACCCTCGTACACCCCTACCCTCGTACACCCCTTCCCTCGTAACCCTGCCCTCGTACACCCTGCCCCCGTACCCACTACCTCGTCACCCCTACCCTCGTACACCCCTACCTTGTAACAACCCCATACCCTCGTAAATTAACAAAACTAAAAACCCTCGTAACACCCCTACCCTCGTACACCCCTACCCCGTCACCCCCTACCCTCGTACACCACTACCTCGTCACACCCCCTACCCTCGTACACCCCTACCCTCGTACACCCCTACCCTCGTACACCCCTACCCTCGTACACCCCTACCCTCGTACACCCCTACCCTCGTACACCCCTACCCTCACCAACCCCTACCACTACCCCTTCCCTCGTCCACCCCTACCCTCCGTCCACACTACTTGGAAAGTCCCCGGCCGGGAGAATAACCGGCGATATAATAAAAAAAAAAAAAAAAACACTACCCTCGTCACCCCTACCCTCCCACCCACTACCATCGTACCACCGTCACTGCCCACACCCAACCCTCCCACCCCCCAAACATGTACCACCGTACCTCGCCACCCCCTACCGCTTCACCCCCTACCATCGTACCACGTCACTCGCCCACCCTACCTCCACCACCCACCATGTACCCCGTCTCGCACACCCCTACCCCTCCTCTGTCCTTCGCATTTCCTACTCTGGTTCATCCCTTCCTGCAGCACTGTATGGACACTTTCGGGTTGATCATTAATTGAGAATAAAAAATTAATCCTCCATAAAAAATATTCCTTCTGAAAATACCTTCTCTTAATAATCGTATACATTGGAATCAAACTTAATATAAAGGACGAACACAACTGTTAACAGAGTTAAGTAGTAAAATGGAGGTGTGAATCCTGAAGCAGATATTTGAATGGTAGTTAGCATGTTTAGACATCATATCGTCAGATAATGCGAAACAACCCATTATTTATAACATCAGTGACAGAAGCATAATGTTGGGAAATGCTAAGAGTGGAGAGTTGCGGCCAAGTACAGGGCAGTTACTAGCAGAAAGAGTAGTAGATTGAGGCACTGATCTGCATTTCTCGGAAAGGAGAAGAATTATTGGCATTCTCAGAAAACACGCTAGCTCAGAAAATGGCAAAATTCTAGGTAACACAGTGGAGGACTACCAAGATAATTTGATGAGAACACTAAGTCAAAAATTCATTAGTAAGAACTATAAAAAAGGTCGGAGAGCAGGAATGATAGACCAGTAAAACTAAATGCAAGTGGAAGGAAACAGAGATATTATTGCAATGAGCGAGAATTAGTTCCATTTAAAATATGAAAATGCCAGTTAACTACACATGCAGTTTATAAATTAGGCCACACCGGGACTGAGTCAACTGAAATGGTGCCGGAGTTGCTATTATGTTACGAAAATTTAAATCATGTATAAAGTTATGTAGGTGAAAGGATCACAGCCTGCTCATTTGGCTGCAGTTTCTCATAAGAGTTAAAGTTAATCGTAGGATGATTGACTACAATCTCAAAAACATAAATATGACCATGATAAAATTTTTAAGGGAAAAATGCTGGGCATATAAGCTTTTATGGGAGATCTTTAGCCAAAATGAAAGAACAATTTGACTGAAATCTATCTAGAGTCTTGGAAAATTTTAGAAATAGTTGAGTATTTTTTAAAATTGCTTGCATAGGACCAACTAGAAGATCTCTGATAATCTTTCTATTTATGAAGAGTATAGGAAGTGATCACAATCCCTTAGTTTCAAAATCTCATGTAATTACTTCAATAAAAATCAAAGTCAAGGTCCCAGTTTTTTTAGTGCAGATTATAAGGCCTATGGGTTATCTGGTAAAGTGAGTGGGGGTAACCGGATTGGGATTTCACGAGGAGGGGATATAAACAGTGGGGAGAAAGTCAATATTTCTCTCCAAAGCTTTCCAAAACCCCCCAAGTTGCTACATTTCCAAGAGAGAAATTATATCAAACATAAATAACTAAAAAATTAAACAATAGATTAAAATACCTCTTTGGTGAAAAAAAGTCATTTACAGGCGTATTAAAATAGCGTCACCTTATTAATCGATTCATTCAGACTAAGTGGTAAAAAAAAGAATTAGGAAAGCCAAAAGAGAATTTGAAATTAGGGTTGAGAGGAATCAAAGACCAACCAAAAGTTTTTTTCATGTACATATGCAAGATCAAAGTCACTAGTAACATGGTCCTCAGAGAAATTCATAGATCAAAACAAACATGTTACCTGGAACTGACGAGCCATTTTCAAGGGTTCTAAAGGAATGTTGAGTGGAACTTAGCAGACCATTAGCAAGTCTCTTCAAGAGATAACTACCAACGGGAATCGTACCGAATAAAGGAGAAATGGTCATGGACCAGGTCGTGTTGGCACTGACCCCCGGAACACCACCCAGGTATACAAGGCAAGGCACAGGTCCTTAACTTCAAATTATAAACCAATCAGCTTTGCCTCGGTTGAGGGAAAATTAATGGAATCATTACTTATGTATGTAATTCGAAGCCACCTTGAAAGATACAATTTGATGAACTCAAAACGGATTAACAAAGGATTAACTAGCAATGGATTTGATGCTTTTTCACAAAGATATTCGAGGCAGAGGAACAAGATAAAGAATATGATAATGTACTTTTTCACTGCAGCAAGGTCACTGACGGAGTTTCACACACCATCCTGATGCAGTAGCGACACGTGATATAGGATAAATTTTCTTTTGGGTCGAATCTTGGATAACCGAAAGACAACAGCGTGAATAAATGGTGAGAAATTAGAATGTGAACCCGTTAAAGTGGTGTGCCGTAGGGGTTAGCATTGGGACTCTGTTGTTCACAGTCTGTATATTTGACACTGATGAGGAAATAAAATTCGAAGACGGCGGAGAAAGAAATTCAGATATATAGATGAAGATTTGATCATTATTTGTGTGATTTGTGTGATTTTTTTAGACCCGTTAAATAGCGTTAGATATTTTAAGTTTACCTCTTCAGAACAGCTTCAATATTCAATGGCTGGTGCATCTTAGGGACATTATAGTACTTATTAAGATTTCTTGGCGCCCAGACAAATTTGTTGTAGTACATTAGTAGATAACTTGGAATCGGAATTCGTGCCATGATTGGCAGATTTAAACATGTAGTGCTGATGTATTTTGCTCAAAGTAAACAATCACTTGATGTTGTGTAAGTTATTATGTACCAATTTTATTAATCACATTAGTTTCTGTAAAATAACTGGCGAATGTTTTGTCTTATCAGAAATAAGTCACAGTGTTTGACTTTATTTGGTTATCTTCACATAAATCATCTTATGTCTATAACATGAGTGTGTCCTCAAGACGACTGGTAAAAATTTGTATTTATGCGCTAAGCTTACATAAAATTTACTTTCTTAAGAGCTGGTCAATATTTGATTTGATGTTGGTCTGTGTAGGTCCCAATTTTTTTCTAAAAAATGTGAAAAAAAATCTGCTTGCGATGCGATAATTTCTGAGTATTGTTTCTAATTATCTCCAACCCGTCCTTGCTGATAACGTGATAATGCAACTTCTGAACGGCTTCAACTTTTGGATATTGGTCCCTTGGAGTAGTATGAATTAGATTTGAGCTGTGTATGTCCTAATTAACATGTATATTGAAGAAATGTGGGTATTAGTTTCCGTATGTTGACTTGTAAATACCCTCAACCTTCAAATCTTCAACGCTAATATTTAACTGCACTATCTCGCATGCCTTGAAATGCAGGGCAGTAAGGTTATGGAATACAGAAATACCTTTCTCGAATCGCCAAACGACCGAAATATAGCTTAATTATATTCACAAGGCAGCTTTGCAGACATATAGTGACTGAGAATGGAAAGCTATCAGATTTGGTCCTAGGAAGGGAATGATGGCTCCGATTCATTGGATTAAGAGCTCTTCACTAGCATTAAGGTATCCCCTTCCAAGGGTAACGTGTATAAAGCTTATTGTGAATGCCGGGTCACCAACTGGACAGTGATATGGTTCGCCGGGACATCACCGGCGAACCATATCACTGCACTTACTGTGTTCTCTAAGGCTGTAAGAAGGTTAGCTTAATATCTTATTTTAAAAGAATTAATAGTTATTTTAAAAGAATTACATAATGGAGAGAAGTATTTTATTTTATTAACTTTAATAATTATTAATACCTTTGGTTTACCTTTCTGCGACATGCGTGTGGTAGGTTTACTGTTCTTTTGTCTCATGAACATGTCAAGATGACAGGTAAATATTACAAGCGTCTACTCATATATATATATTATATATATATATATATATATATATATATATATATATATATATATATATATATATATATAGTGTGTGTGTGTTTCTTAATAGGTCTTATTCATGTTGTACTTGCTTTACAGTTAGGAAGTCTGCTCTGAGACCAGGAGCGATAATCCTCTGAACCAGTTTAGTATTGATGTTAGTTCTTCCTTAGGTAAACGGCCGGTTCCTCGCTTCTGCCAGTATGTGAGGGTGGACTGTGTTGGATATCCCCAACACCAGTGCTGCCGCAGCCAGGGTCCGTACAGGCCAGGGTAACTGCTACCAACACAGCTGAGGGCCGGCCAGCATCCGGCGCTAGTACCTTCCCATAATAAAACCCGACGACCTCTCGCTACAGTATTTGTATTATTGTGCATAGCATTCCAAGATTCAAAGTTTATTCTCTGTAAGGATTACAATGCTGAGTTTACAGAATCTGGTTATTGTGTGGTTTACATGTAGTAAAATAATAATTACAGAGTGTACCACTAGAACACCTAGCATGGCTAGACATTTCGGGCAGACTTAGATTAAATCTTAAGTTTAAAATATTACAAAATTATGAGTTAAGTTGGTATTATGGCTAAGTGATTACAAATACTAGTTTGTGAGTTTAGCAATGTGAATGCTTTTGTTTTGGCACTATACATAGTTTCAGTATTGGAGTATCACAGGCCAACTTATGACTAGTTAAGATTCATTATTTTGAGATTGAGATTGATATTTCTGTTTATGGTCAAATGGATGAGTGAATGTAAGTGTGAACCACCAGGTGGTATTCGTATAATTAGTTGACAGGGTGTATCAGGGAGATAAGATGTTTTCTGATGGTAGTTTTGAAGGTGATGAATGTGTCTGCAGTTTTAGAATTTTCAGGTAGGGTGTTCCAGATTTTAGGGCCTTTGACATACATTGAATTTTTGTAAAGGTTTAGTCGGACACGGGGAATGTCATAGAGATGTTTGTGTCTTATGTTGTGCCTGTGGATCCTGTCACAACTATCAAGAAAGCGTTTTAGGTCAAGGTTAATATTGGAATTTAAGGTCCTGTAGATATAGATTGCACAGTAGTAAGTGTGGATGTTATGAACAGGGAGTAAGTTTAGATCTATGAAGAGTGGGGGGGGGGGTGTTTTCTGGGATGGGATTTAGTGATTATTCTTACTGCGGCTTTTTGTTGGGTTATTATTGGCTTTAGGTGTGTTGCTGCAGTTGAACCCCAAGCACAGATAGCATAGGTGAGGTATGGATATAGAAGTGAATGGTATAGTGTGAGAAGGGCAGTTTGCGGTACGTAGTATCGTATCTTGGAGAGGATCCCAACCGTTTTGGATACTTTTTTGGTTATGTGTTGGATATGGGACGCGAGGTAGAGACATAAATAATAATTTAAAGTTATCTCCTCACCGAATGTCAAGACATTAAAATCTTCTCTCCCTTGCAGATGTTGTCCTCTTATTAACTTATCATCACTTGGTCTACAGAAGGATTACACAGTGATAATTTCTTAAGTGCATCTTAGTATTAGTTGTAATATTTACAGAGAGCTTTGACGGTGCAAATCATTCAGCGCTCAGCGCCAAAAGTATATACAACAAACACTGAACACGCAAATATAATCATTGCCAGTTAAAATACCCAGCATCAGTTAAAAACCACGTAAAATTATTATTAATATCGTATCATGTATATCTAAGTAATGTTAATGTTGTATGGTGTAGGTGACTTTCCCAATATATTGTTTTCATTTTTCTGTAAGTTTTTATTGACAGTTAAAGTAATGTTACTGTTGTTGTAGCGTTTTAATACCTCCTAAGTGATTGGTTTGTTGTGGTGGGTTATAGTGACGCTCCAGGTAAAGTACAGCTTCCAGAAAGTATACCAAGGACATAAAAACAGTATGGACATTATTTGGGCAACGTTTTGCTTGGAGACCAAGTTTTTTTTTTTTTGTCTCTCGCTTGGAGACCAAGCCTTGTCAAGACTTTCGTTTGGATACCAAGCATCTTCTAATCTTTTTATCTGGTTTTCAAGAGCAACACTGTCGTAATAAAATGCCCATATTGCTTAGTGTTTTTGTAATACAATTTGTCAATATTTTACACATCTTACGTCCAAAACGGGAGTTAACGAACAATAACAAAGGAAATAACAGCTACTCGTTGACCGCGAAAAATATGAAACATCTGGTGAGCTTCTGGTGAGCCACAACAACAAAGGTGATAATGGAAAGGCTTAAGTTTAATTTACAGTGTGTAACTCTAGCGTGAAAATGTACAAGAGTTAAAGTGTACATTAGGCGTCAGTGAAGTAGACTATTTCCTTGTGAATTCCAGGAAGGATTTTTTAGATGACTATGACTTGCAAGAAGGGAGTAATATAACACTTTTAACCAAAGATGGGAAATTATTTTTCAGTCCATAATTAACAGTGAGTTACACTGTCCTCCCAAATTCAGAGAAGGTAATAGTGTTCTTGATGTCTGCATCCATCAGGAGGAAAAGTTGATTTTAATCACTTCTTGGCAACATGTCATATTGGGGGGTAAAGAACGGAATAATTATGGGGATAAGACGGAATAATGGAGTAAATGGAGGGAGTACGAAGGAGAGGGAAGGAGATATATAATATGACAGGTCAGTGGTGACCACCACGACCTCCCATTAACTCTACACTACTCACTACCGTATACCTCGCCTACTCTTCACTCACTCCATCTGATATAAATAAAATAAAAGAAATAACAGGGACAATAAATATACTCTTCCATTCAAACAGTTCATTATTAAGTCCTTGTACAGTAATAGTAACATAATTGGGAACAGGAGAACACTATTGGATCCAGATAAATGAGGATAGTATACATAAGCAGCGAGACAAGGGTTGCAGTTTAACCAACGAAATAGAATATTTACTTAAAATAAGTTCAGAGGGACAGTTCACCTTAGAAACTCAGATTCTAGCCACACCTAGAAAGTTTACCTGGAGAAGGTTCCGGGGGTCAACGCCCCCGCGGCCCGGTCTGAGACCAGGCCTCATGGTGGATCAGAGTCTGATCAATCAGGCTGTTACTGCTGGCCGCACGCAAGCTGACGTACGAACCACAGCCCGGTTGGTCAGGTACTGACTTTAGGTGCCTGTCCAGTGCCTTCTTGAAGACAGCTAGGGGTCTATTGGTAATCCCCCTTACGTATGCTGGGAGGCAATTGAACAATCTTGGGCCCCGGAAACTTACTGTGTTGTCTCTCAGTGTACTCGTGGCGCCCCTGCTTTTCATCGGGGGAATGTTGCATCTCCTGCAGAGTCTTTTGCTTTCACACAGATCCCAAGACCTCCACAGCACGAGCACTGCTCCAAGCCAGTACTTTGCCCAGTGTCTCCAACAAAGTATTCTCCAGAGACTCTCAAGCAGCCTTTTCCCAGAGCTCTACACACAGGCAGTAGCTCTGCCCAAACCTCTTGCCCAGAGCTCTGCCAGAATCTCCTGCTCAGAGTTCTACACACAGCCCAGAGCTCTGCCAGAATCTCTTCCCTCTAGCTGTTTCCTTGAGCTTATATGGACCTTAAAGCACCCCCCTAAACTCCAGGTTTTGGAGTTCACCCCCCCCATGAGGCATACACCAGGTGTGTTAAGACCTGACGCCTGCAGTTATCACACAAAGGGTAGACTTCTCAAAGAATGAGACCTGAGACGTCCAGTGCCAGGATTATTCCACTTTTCTAACACCTTTCTACCAAGGAAAGGGCTGTGACAATTTACACTGGTTAGGTAGTTCTTCCTTTTGACCTCACAAGCGCAGTTGACCTACATCACATCCCCCTTTCTCCTCAATTTAAAATATCAGAGAACTAGGACAATTTGTCCTAAGTTATTAGACTATTTCAATCCTAACCCTTAATTCTGTTACGATATAAAAACTAAATTACACATAACTTAATACAAATAATTTAAAACACAATTTTTTTTTCTCAACCTTCTCAACTACCACAAAGCAGCATAATCAGTACACCTCACAGCTGACCAGCATAACAGTTGCTCTCTGGTGCAAAGCCTCCTTACTCGTCATTTCTTCTTAAAACTAAATATCTGGCTCCAGTGCCTTCCCTACTTCTATTAGAAATGCACTAGCCGGTACTAGTCAGCCTCGCACGTTAACCATTGGGCCAAACCTCTCCGGGCTTCGTTGGCTTGGAAAACTGCTCCATCGGGTAGCATTTTTTCAAGTAACTGCAACTGGACCACTACACGACCACCAAGGTCGCATTTCAGCACACTTTCACATACACACTTCAACATCTGAAAGTCGAGATAGAACAGGCATGGCAGCTAATACCCACCATTATCCTGTGCCACTACTAGGATTCACAAGCCTCATAAAACAAGGCGACCATGATCACTGGACCGTTTCCAAGGTCACCTTATTTCATACAGGCAACACTAAGACTTCTGGCAAGTCAAAGTAGGCTGGGAACATCTTACACTCTTGTCTCTCATGGCTGGCAGGACATACCCCATACCGGTCGTATAGGTTGGCCAGCAAGACAGCATATACCTCCATGCCGCCCTTGATAGCAGGCTGATCCCATCAGCTGGAGTCCATATCCACGGCTCGCGTCCTTCCCCATCTCCGAGGATGGCAGCTCCTTAAGATAAGATTTCGTTCGGATTTTTAACCCCGGAGGGTTAGCCACCCAGGATAACCCAAGAAAGTCAGTGCTTCATCGAGGACTGTCTAACTTATTTCCATTGGGGTCCTTAATCTTGTCCCCCAGGATGCGACCCACACCAGTCGACAAACACCCAGGTACCTATTTGCTGCTAGGTGAACAGGACAACAGGTGTAAGGAAACGTGTCGAAATGTTTCCACCCGCCGGGAATCGAACCCGGGCCCTCCGTGTGTGAAGCGGGAGCTTTAGCCACCAGGCCACCGGCCTGGATCCAGAATCCCTCATACACCACTTCAGCATCACCGCCACACGTACAAGGTATACAGTCCTAGCTGACATCAGTGACATACTACTACATAGAAAGCGGTTTGTTATGCAGAGCATAACAAACCGCGGGAAAATTATGTCAGTTTTGTCCCAGGATGCGAACCACACCAGTCAACTAACACCCAGGTACCTATTTTACACCATGATGGGTGAACATGGACAGCAGGTGTCTTATGGAAATACCTCCTAATGTTTTCCAGCCGTACCGGAGAATCGATCCCCAGACCTCAGTATGTGAGCTGAGTGCGCTAGGGATCGAGCTACGGGACTCACCAACTTCTCTACTAAATCTTAGTTATTCCCGGATCATGTTTGATTTCAGTCTTGTTTATTACTTACGGAGTATTTCCTTTAACATCGTGGTATTAAAAGTTACATAAATACCTGAATGGACAGAAACGCCTTAATTAAACACCTGTTTTGGAATGAAGATAGGTCTTTAATAAACTCTTCTATGGGTATAAAGAGCTTTCATAAAAGCTTACATGCGTATGAAGCGCTTCCATAAACAAATTATTGGGTATAAAGCACTTTGAAAACACTTGTAGAGGAGTGTATCACTTCCATAAATACCGGAGGAATGTGAAACACTTCATTATACTTCTACATAGTTTTGAAGCACTTTTATAAACACCTGTGTGAGAATGAAGCACGTCACAATAACCTCCATGAGTAAGAAGCTTTTCCATAAACTCTTACATGGATATGAAACTCTGTAATGAACACCGTAATTATCTCTGTGCCATGGAGGATTACTTTAAACGCCTGCGTGGGTATAAAGCCCTTCCATTGGCATTAAACACCTGTATTACACCTACATGGGCAAGCAGCTGTCATACGAACACCTGTGTAAGTATAAGGCACCTTCATAAACATCCACATGAGCAGGAAGCATTTTTATATCTGCGTGAGGATGAAGTACTTGTCAACCTTCATACTTGTACAGCAGTGATAAAGAAAACCTCTTGGAGGACCAAGCATTTATTAAGTGAATCTGTCCACAGCTGTTGCATTCGAGTTCCACCAGAGCCGAGCTGGTAAACTGCGGTACTGTATCCAGTAAGACCAGGAAATGAGTGAGGCAGAAAGAGTAATATTGAGCTAGGCTAAGTACTCAGATCATTCTCCTTCACGATGGTGTAAATATACAGGTGTCGGATCAGGCTCAAAACTCATTTAGTGTGAAATACCAAATAAACGAACACACGCGCACACGCATGAGCGGGCTAGCGCCCAAGCGCCCTAGCAGTCCAAGACATCAGCGCTGGTATCGCATCTGTGGGAACAAGTGATTGATCCTCAGTACACTGTACACTTATCGGTTACCGTTACAACGGTGTAAATCCCTAGTGTTTTCTGAAATAACTTTTTACGGAATTCCCCTGTCACTTGGGCTAATGATAAGCGATAACTAGTTTGTGTTGTACACTCTCGTCTGTCACGGGACGCACTGAATGTAGGTCATTCACGTTTGTCTTAGGTATAACAAAACATTCGAAGTCACAGGTCGATTTTTGGATGGCTCCATATATACAGTCGTTTAGAATACCTACGTAGCTCTGCAGTCACATCAGTTTTGGCTCTTTTATGACAAAAAGCCACTACCACATAGCTGAACTCCCTAATAAACCATACGGAGTATTAGAAAGTGTTTACTAGTGACTTGAAGGAACAAGAACAATTGGGCATAGTATAAAAACGAACACTCACAAAAGCCAAAGGAAATGTTTGAAAGTAGAACAAGATGATGATATTAGCAGTGGAGGTAAACTCTATACGATTTCAATAGAAGATATTTGACAGACTACGAAAAAGCAGAAACCAACTACTGGAGCCGATTGCTGGTTAATTGAAAGTCAGTCCAGTAGCTGGAATTGGACACTCACAGACACATCTATGTATGCAATTACTAACGGACTTTGCTTAGCGTATACCTTAAAACTTCCTATATATGTATTACCGTGGGAACTCAGTTGTCTCTGACGACAAATAAAACCAAGCTAAATTCTTCTCCCTCGCCCTCATTGATAGCCAGATGTTTGATATATATTGTGATCCACCTAAACTGACAACATGGAACACAAAGTAAAAGGCAGAGAGCATAAAAATATGTTGTAAGCAATAAATAATGACTTAATAAACAAATTCTTGGTTGTGTTCCTGGAGTTTAGAATTAAATCCTGAATACTGCTGCGTGAAGGTCATTAATGCTGCATGTCAACTGTGCATCTCCAGAACATATTTAAAAAAAAACCGGTTTAAAATTATCTTTTACTCCATATACAATGAGAGACTGACATCTCTTTGTGTACGTATCTGTCATATGAATATATGCAGATACTGTTCTAGCATGATACATGAAACGCTATTTACACATACAATAATCTCTAATTTGATAAATGTGCTTAGACCGATTTTCACCTTGTGCTTATTGTTCAAGTTATCGGAATTCGCCTTTATTTCTCACTTTAATAGTTGTCCTAAATCTGCTTCCTAATACATAAAGAAAACAGAAACTTCACCATAGTGACAAGAGGTGTTTAGGAATTCCCAAACATAGATAAAAGACACAAAGATTATATATCTAATAAACTGGCGTGATGAAGCAGGTGGTGGAGAAACCAGGTGGTGGAGAAGCCAGGTGGTGGAGAAGCCAGGTGGTGGAGAAGCCAGGTGGTGAAGCCAGGTGGTGGAGAAGCCAGGTGGTGGAGAAGCCAGGTGGTGAAGCCAGATGGAGAGGCCAGGTGGTGGAGAAGCCAGGTGGTGGAGAAGCCAGGTGGAGAAGCAGGGGTGGAGAAGCCAGGTGGTGGAGAAGTCAGGTGATGGAAAGCAGGGGGTGGAGAAGCCAGGTGGTGGAGAAGCCAGGTGGTGGAGAAGCCAGGTTGATGGAGAAGCCAGGTGGTGGAGAAGCCAGGTGGTGGAGAAGCCAGGTGATGGAGAAGCCAGGTGGTGGAGAAGCCAGGTGGTGGAGAAGCCAGGTGATGGAGAGGCAGGTGGTGGAGAAGCCAGGTGGTGGAGAAGCCAGGTGATGAGAAGCGGTGAGGGGAGAAGCCAGGTGGTGGAGAAGCCAGGTGATGGAGAAGCCAGGTGGTGGAGAAGCCAGGTGGTGGAGAAGCCAGGTGATGGAGAAGCCAGGTGGTGGAGAGGCCAGGTGGTGGAGAGGCCAGGTGATGGAGAAACCAGGTGATGGAGAAGCCAGGTGATGGAGAAGCCAGGTGATGGAGAAGCCATATGATGGAGAAGCCAGGCGATGGACAAGTCAGGTGGTGGAGAAGCCAGGTGACGGAGAAGCCAGGTGGTGGAGAAGCCAGGTGATGGAGAAGCCAGATGGTGGAGAAGCCAGGTGATGAGAAGCCAGATGATGAGAAGCCAGAGGATGGAGAAGCCAGGTGGTGGAGAAGGCAGGTGATGTAGAAGCCAGGCGATGGAGAGGCCAGGTGATGGAGAAGCCAGATGATGGAAAAGCCAGGTGATGGAGAAGCCAGGTGATGGAGAAGCCAGGTGGTGGAGAAGCCAGGTGATGGAGAAGCCAGGTGGTGGAGAAGCCAGGTGGTGGAGAAGCCAGGTGGTGGAGAAGCCAGGTGATGGATAAGCCAGGTGATGTAGAAGCCAGGTGATGGAGAAGCCAGGTGGTGGAGAAGCCAGGTGATGGAGAAGCCAGGTGGTGGAGAAGCCAGGTGGTGGAGAAGCCAGGTGGTGGAGAAGCCAGGGGGTGGAAGAAACCAGGTGATGGAGAAGCCAGGTGATGGAGAAGCCAGGTGGTGGAGAAGCCAGGTGATGGAGAAGCCAGGTGATGGAGAGGCCAGGTGATGGATAGGCCAGGTGATGGAGAAGCCAGGTGATGGAGAAGCCAGGTGATGGAGAAGCCAGGCGATGGACAAGTCAAGTGGTGGAGAAGCCAGGTGATGGAGAAGCCAGGTGGTGGAGAAGCCAGGTGATGGAGAAGCCAGATGGTGGAGAAGCCAGGTGATGAGAAGCCAGATGATGAGAAGCCAGAGGATGGAGAAGCCAGGTGGTGGAGAAGCCAGGTGATGTAGAAGCCAGGCGATGGAGAGGCCAGGTGATGGAGAAGCCAGGTGATGGAGAAGCCAGGTGATGGAGAAGCCGGATGATGGAGAAGCCAGATTGTTGAAGATATTGGCCTTACCAGCTATGTGTAATATATATATAAATATAGGAAACACTTAGCTGATAAATGACAGCAAATCGTCTACACAGCCGCCCCTGCAGATGAGGTCTAAAAGCTGTCGAAACCATCACAACATTGGGCTGTCAAGAGATACAATTTGTAAGTATAAATTACCCCTAGGGGGTGTTATGTCAGCATATTTCATTCGATGATGGCTGACGAAATACCTACTTGTTTGGACTCAAAAGTCCACACCTTACTGCCGATTATAGGTTGATTACAAACTCCTTGTGACTCAAGAATTGCGCAATCCCCCGATCTACAAGAAATTCGTAACATACCTTGCTCTTTGTAACGTGAGCTATGATGTTCTCAACACCTTCGACAGGTATCGGTGACTTGATAGAAGCTGAAGTGTCCTTGGATGTCCACGTCTTCCATTGTCTAGGAAACACACACTGGTACACAATGTTCCACAAGATTTGTCTTTATTGTTCACAATGTATCACAAGAGAAGCTGATCACACTTCTCTTAAGTGTTTGTGTTTGAGACACTTTGTTCACACTAACGCACAGATCAGTATCCTGGCGTCAGTGTCACTCTCCCTAGAGTCAAAGATAGTCTGGCGACGCCACACCGCCCCAAGCCGTCACTGCCCTAGCACAAAAAAAAAAACCGCTGACCTAGTACCTTGCATCCTTGTCACCTCCTCGATGAAGCAAAGCAGAATGTTTGTTTCTTGCTGTCTTAAGCATAGACAACAATGTACACTATTTTTACCATGGTAATAAAGTGGGAGCAGGATTTTCCTTAATTGTCCTGCTAAGTAAGAGATGTACTGTCTCTTATAAAAATACACTTTGCAACACCGTTGCAAGGAGCAGAGGTCACTTGACTACGTGGCATAGCATCTGTGATCAATTACTCACTCTAGCAGTAAACAAGACGCTCGCCCCTTCTGAGAGGGCTTGGCCCCTCAGGGCTGAAAGGGCTGAAGGGAGCTGATACCCCCCTCCTGGAGAAAATTCCTCCACACAGATGATGGAAAAGCCAGGTGATGGAGAAGCCAGGTGATGAGAAGCCAGATGATGAGAAGCCAGATGATGAGAAGCCAGATGATGGAGAGGCCAGGTGATGGAGAAGCCAGGTGGTGGAGAAGCCAGGTGATGGAGAAGCCAGGTGGTGGAGAAGCCAGGTGGTGGAGAAGCCAGGTGGTGGAGAGGTCAGGTGATGGAGAGGTCAGGTGATGGAGAGGCCAGATGATGGAAAGGCCAGGTGATGGAGAGGCCAGGTGTTGGAGAGGCCAGTTGATGGGGAGGCCAGGTGATGGAGAAGCCAGGTCAGGTGATGGAGAGGACAGGGGATGGAGAGGCCAGGTGATGGAGAGGCCAGATGATGGAAGAGCCAGGTGATGGAAGAGCCAGGTGATAGTGAAGGCAGGTGGTGGTGTAGGCTGGTGGTGGTGTACGCAAGTGGTGGTGCAGGCTGGTGGTGGTGGTAGAGGCAGGGGATAGTGGAGGCAGGTGGTGGTGTAGGTTAGTGGTGGTGGTAGAGGCAGGTGCTCGAGACGAAAGGCAATAAAGCAAGCTAGTGGTGGAGAAAGCAGGTTGTTGAAAAAGCATTTGATGGTGTGGCAGTTGCTGGAGACAGCAGGATGTGGTGTAGGTGTCGTAGAAGGACGGTGGTGTAAAAGACATGGTGGAGAAGGCATATGGTGGAACAGGAAGGTGGTGGAGAGGCAGTTGATGAAGTAGGCAGGTGGTGGTGATGTAGGTAGTGTTGGAGAATTCCTGTGTGGGATTCCTCATGGGTTTGAAGAGCCCTGTTTGGGATTTCTCATGGATGGGAGGAGCGCTCTGTGGGATTACTGATGGGTAGAGGAGAATCTATCTGGTATAAGTGGAATCAGTTCGTTTTCTTTTATTTGTGCCGCCTGAACGGTTGCTTCACTGTACACCTGATGCTCATCCTGTGAGGAATCAGTCCTGTGTGGAGGGGTTACAAGAGAGTACTTAAGAGAGGACCTGGCGTGTTACTGCCTCAGCTCACCTGGTCGCCGCCTCAGCATTCACTCGTGTTGCCAGTGTTGTACTTCTCTTGTGTATCTCTCCGTCACAAGATCAGAATACAACACACAACAGGTAATTTATTTTAATATCCTCATAGTTGTAGATGAGTCACTGTTAGTTAAAGGCGTTCTTCAGGGCTCTCTTCTCGCTACCACTATTTAAGGAGTAATTTTTGCTAATTCACTCTTGGAAATTCCATTATGGTACGCTTTATTGTTTGAGAATCGCAGGAAGTAGCCTTCACCTTCAAGCAAGTCAATTTTTAGCCATGTCTTGAAATTAACAACACTACTCGTACACTCCTTTCCTCTTAATGTATAAGCTATATCTCGAGCTCTGTTGAAAGAAACACATCTCCCACGATAAAAATATTAACACCTCTTCCGTTTTCCGTTTACCTTCCATACACTCAATCATGTGTATGTTTGCGTATTCCATATATAAATCATTACCATATATATACAACCTGTTTACATTAGAGTCTTATATATACATATACTCAGTCTTTTGTTAGTGGCTTCCAAATATTCACTCAACCTTGCATACGTTAATGTCTCTGATACATACATTAAAGTAGATGGAAGTACACAAGTGCATATAGTTAGGAGATCTATATTGGAAACCTTTCAGTCCTTGGACCTTGGTCATTCAAAATGATACAAAGGATAAATAGTACAGAAAAGAGGTCACTGACCGTGATCAGGTGACGGCGTCAAGTCATCTATTAGCAGCACAGAATCTGCGCGTAATAGTATCACATGTGCAAGGATTTTTGCGTCAATACAGAGTTGCGTCAATACAATGACTCTCTGCTTTAGTACAGTTCATGAGATGTTTATTCTTAGATCTGTGCAAGACACGAGCTGTTTTGGTGTCTTGGCTGCATGAATTTTTATGTTCTCGGGCACAAAAAGAAAGAGTCCTCCCTGTTTATCCTAGTTACAAATGCAATATTAGTATAGACATCTATCAGAGAATACTAGAAAGTTAACCTATTGATCCCCTCTAGCATCTAGCCTGTTTCTCGCTATGTAACAAGTGTTTAATAAAAATTCTAACCAATATTATTTTGTACCATACTGAGCTTTTAAGAACGATTTTTTTTACTGAGTTTATCATAACATTAGGCAAGCGCTTTTCAACAGCAGGATTTTATGAACCGGTCTGTAATTAGACGAAAGGAAACCAACAAATAATAGTTTGAGATCTTTAATGAAACAAAAACTTTGTCTCGGGTTAAAAGTTGTATTTACATATAAAATTAATGATGATGGAATTACACCCTTAACAATGACAGTTATCAACATATTTGCACAAACTTATATACTGTACAATATTGTTGTTTTACTGATAACCTGTGGCATCTGGCACGTTACTGTACTGCGTTGTACATGTGTATGTAGTGTGCTCTGCAAGACACAACATAGAAAGTGATTGATGAAAACATATCCTTGTGTAAAGTAACTTCTGACCAACAGAGAGGCAACAGGCACCTCTTGCTTGAACAATACAGCGAAAAGTTCGCCAAACAGTAAAATGCACAAAGCAACTGTGAGCAACACAACATCAAGGAAGGAAGGAAGCACAGAAACAATAGTGCATACATGCCAGTCTAGTTTGACTCGGGACCTGAAACATAGTTTTTTTTTTTTTTTTTATTCGCCGGTATTCTACATAGTGTCTCACGATACACCCTCAGAAAATGTAAAAAATCACTAATTCTATACAATGCTTTGTGAAAAGAGTTGCACTGAGTGCATGATGAAGATAAATGGTTCAGAGAACCGACAAGTTGATAAATTAGACACATGTGCAACATTTGGGTATATTTATTGAGGAAACTTTTCGCCACACAGTGGCTTCATCAGTCCATACAAAAGAGAATGGTAAAGAACGGAAGGAGACTCATCCTTGAGTCGATGTAATCAGTCCATCAGTCTTAAAAAGAATACAGCATATGTGCGAAGAAGTACCTTATATATTGTAGACAGGTGAGGTGAAGCAGTCGTAGGTGGAATCACACTTTACAAATCCAAATGTGGAAGTAGGTCATGCCTAAAGGTTAGGCAAGTGAAGAATTTCCTGTGTCACCCATCTCACCATCGGGTACATACTCTACCAAAAAAAAATGAGTCTTCATGACAACAGCAGAGGAGAACAGCGTTCTCCCAGAATGGAAGAGAATGGAGGTCAGACACTTCCTTGGCTTCCCTCACATCTCAGAAGACAAATAAACAAGCATTTTAGCAGCGAATTAAGTGTTTAAATATGTATATAAGTTGAGATTCCAGCAATACTTCCTGATGATCTTCCTTTTGTACCAAAGTGGTTGCCTTATTAACCCGTAAACGGTCCAAACGTATATAAACGTTTTTTCAACATTTGAAAGTATGTAAAAAAAGTAGATCTTTTTTCTGTTTTTCTACATTTGAAAATTTGTAAAAAACTTTGATTTTTTTTTTATATTTGAAAATATGTAATAAAAACTTAGATCTACTTTTGTAGCACTACACATGTGAACGTAGATCTGCTTGGACCGTTTACGGGTTAAGTTCCTCAGGTGAACAGCCTCAAGTAACTAACTGGCGAAGTGCCTCTAGAAAATTAATTTGAAAATTCCTTTTCTTTTATTCGGGAAAAGAAGCTGAGAGGACGTTCTCTCGGTCTGTATCAGGACATGAATACTTCCCAGTCGTTTATGTTTTCACAACACACAGGCAATAATGTTTTCCTGTACATCCAAGCACACTGTGACATCTTGCGAAGTAATGGTATGTCGTACTTGATTACTTGAAAGCTAAATACACTCTTCGTCAAATATAACTGCTGTTCCTACAGTACACCTAACTGATAGCAAGCCTGTAAGTGCCGTTTCTACTCAATCCCTGCCATACTTAACCTCCTGAACTGGCATCAGTTTTGGGCGTTGTCAGTCTGTAAATTTATAACAAGGTCACTTCGCAATCATGTGAGCCTCAAAATATTGCTCTACCGACTGCGACCTCAAGTGTACAATCCTCTGAGGCATCCACTGTTACCTTCAGTGACAGTCCCACTAAGTTACCTCAATCAAATCCTGCTGAGCCACTGAAGTCTAAGGCTGCTTTATCTGTTGATAATTACAGTGATGTCCATTTTCATATTACGTTTAATTCACTGATTCCGACTGCACGCAGCTACGTGTTTATCAGTACTGATAAACACTAAACCTGTAATAATCATACAGCGTCTAAGGAACGTCAGATAAACAGAGAAAGCAGCCTGTGCAACACTGGTTCAAAACATTTCGCCTGCACAATAGGCTTCTTCAGTCGAATACACGGGTAATTTTTAATAGTGGAAACAGTGGAAGAAGTGAAGATGTGATTTTGAGGTGCTCAGTCCCTCATCCTTGAGGGACTAAACAACTCAAAATTAACCTCTTCATTTCTGCCGTTTTCTTCAGTATTAAAATCGCCTCTGTATTCAATTGAAGAAGCCTGCTGTGCAGGCCAAACGAAGACGGTAGCTTTATTCTTTGGATCAAGAGGACCTTACCAGGGGAAAAAAATCACTACACTGACAGTTTATACCTTAATCAAATGCCATTATTGTACATTATTACTATAGCCCGCTCCTTCACAGAATGTCGAGGTTGTCGTTGTCAGCTGTGTTCTTCATGGTGTTGGCGAGTGTAGTGAGTCCTCAGTGTATCTCCAACAACGACAGGCTGTCCCTGCCCCTCACTCCTGACCTGGAGCACATCACCCCCTTCAGCTTGGATCTTCTGAAGGAGCTTTACCCGCCCACTGCCACGGGAAACTTTTTCTTCTCACCTTACAGCATCTGGAACGCCCTTGTCCTGGCTTACTTTGGGTCGGCTGGACAAACCCGTCAACAACTACAGGATGTCCTGCGTCTGAGTGACCCTTCAAACACTCTGGCAACCTACAAGGCCCTAGACCGTTTGTGAGTATACTTGCTTATCTCAACTCACATTGAACCACTCTGGCAACCTACAAGGAATTAAGCCTTTTGTAATTATTCTCGTTTATCTCAAGCTAACCTTAAATTACCCCTTAAAACATTTAGGAATTCATGTCTGTTTGTCATTTGTGACCAATATATTCAGGGAAAGTGTTAAGATTAAAGGGGATCACATACCGTATGGGAAATGAAAGGTAATCGGATTTAGTTCAAAGAATAGATTTACTGTTGCACCTCATTTCATAAGAGTCCTTCGCCAGCATCAAAGCCCCACCCTGAATTATTAATGTTTATGAAAATGGTGTGATCAGTGTTTATGACTGTGTTTACTAATGCTTGTGTTCATTATTTTTGACAGTGTATTTACACAATTAGGTTTAACATTATGCTTATCTTGATAATGCAGGTATGAGAAGAGACACGCGAATACCAGTGAATATGTGATAGACATAGCCAACAAAGTCTACGTGAATAAGAACTTCAATCTTCGGGTCTGTATCCGGAAGGTCCTTTCGAAAGAGGTGCAGAATGTCGATTTCACAAAGGTCGGTGAAGCTTCATAAAATGTTCTCTTAATGACCTTAATACTAAATCATTTTAAAAGCATAACAAAAAATGCAGCTTATAAGGTGCAATTTTAGAAAAAAAAATGCAGAAAACTGATTTTGTTTTTCTGTGAAAATACCCGAATCTCCACTGAGTTTAATGGTGAAAACCCTCCAAGAGTTGCTGTTCTGGTCTTTTGTTTTAAGAGTTTCCATGATGACTACCATCCGAATACCTTCGTTAATGTATGGAAAATAAAATTGTTCTTTGAGTCCATACCTATTTGAGAGATGGAGGGATAATAAAACGTTTAGAAATACAATAAGAGATGGTATTATCAGCATAAATCTTATGCTGTCGTAGCTTTATGTGCATAAAATACTAAATTCTAAATAAAATAGTTAGTATTCATAATAGGAGGATTAATTAAAACAGTATAAAATACATCAGATATACTAATATTAGTTCTGAAGTTAGAATAACATAGCTTTATCTGTGTTCTAGTCTGAGATTATGGATACTGGTATATTTGTGAAATGAAGATAAGATGATGGTGAACTCCGTCTAAATTGCCTGGAGAACGTTGTACATATTAGTAAAGAACTACCTGGAGTTTATGTAAGACTTTAGAGCAAATCTATTTCTATCTTTTCTCACTCCTACTGTAAAAAAATATCTGAAGCCCAGTACCATAGTTTAATAAGAGAGAGTAGGAGAGGCAGATGACTGCACTAGAACAAATGCTATCCGCCGTTCTCAGACATTAAAATTTGACATCAAAGATGATGTTTTTACTGTGGCTAGCAAGTGGCCAATTATTCCGAATTCTTGTCGAATTTCTCTGCAGATAGATTCACTCAAATGAACAGTATGATGAATGGGGTGAAACTACAGTATAGAAATCCGTGTTCAGCATGTTGATCTCATAGCAGCTGAAGCCAAGTCCGGTTCCTTTTAAATGGGTTAACCGCAACCTCAAGAAAAAAGCCCGAGGATCCCCTGACTAAATTTGTCGATGTGTGACATCCTCGGTATAGATGACTCAATTTTCCTTGCCTGAGTTATTGATACTTATAAATGGGCACTTGAAATGAAAGAAATACTATACAGCAAAACACCCGAAAATAAAGTTAGGTCTCTACTTCTGTACTGACATGATTACGACGGTTCAACATCGAGTAAGGACTCTTTGTACATTATTAGATAAAGACGACAGATTCATAAGAAACAGGTACATAACTACTGGTTAAAATAAGGAGGAGAATATGGATATGACATCAGTAGTTATTAGGCTGAAAGCTTATAACTCTTCCGATTTTACTTACTATATCTGTGAATATCAATTCGAAGGTTCAGTCTCGTAAACTAATTGATATTCTGAGTAGTATGTCATTAGCTGATGATTAATGGAACTACGATAACTACATGATGCCTTGTTTCCTTTCCAGAAACAGGTACTTGATCTATTAGGAAAACTCATGAACTTCGTGTTCGACATTGCTTATATCAACAATAGTAAAATAACAGGTTTAGATACGTGGCACGCCAAGGAAAATATCGCCTGTTTAATTTCTGAAAAAAAATTACGTGGAGCCTAAAATCCCCAAAACGACCCGAATGAGATCTGCTGCTGATGTTGGCCGGTGAAATCAAATAGCAATTAAGAAGTACAAATCATGGAACGGGCGGGGAGTGAACCCATGGCAAGCGAGTCTTAAAACTCACAGGCCAGACAGTGATTTGTTTGAAATCGTGTTACGATTTCGTGAGTTTATAAGTACAAATGAGGTAGCAGGTGCCTGAACCGTGTCTTTTTTTGGTCCTCTTGAATCACAAGATTCCCTTCCATCTTCTCTGTAGTTGGCACAGCACCTTGATAATATATCGATAGATTTTCTTTTCTGATCTCTGCCTCAAGTCTATGCCCAAATTGGGCGGAGTTCATGCATAATGGAGAAAGTGAAATCCATGAAATGAGCATGATTATTAGGGGTGTTTCAAAGTGTCATTATTGGTGGGTATCGGCTATTTTTATGGTATCGGTATCGGCGAAAAGTGGCCAATACCAGCCGATAGATCTATTTCTACTATTATGCGTGCTTTAAAATAATAAAATTAACACTATCTTACGATCAGGAGAGTTACACACACACATGCACACACACACATACACACATATACACACATACATACACACACATACATACACACACATACACACACACACACACACACACACACACCTTTCCCTTCTCTCTCTCTCTCTCTCTCTCTCTCTCTCTCCCCCCATTTTCCCTTCTCACTCTCTCCCTCTCCTACCCTTCCCTTCTCTCTCTTTCCCCCTCTCTCCCATTCTCTCCCACCCCTTTCCCTTCTCACTCTCCCCCTCTCTCCTTCTACCTTTTCCTTCTCTCTCTCTAAAAAAAAAAAAATGGTGGTGACTCTCAGCGATCAGATGAGAATAGTTCTGGTATGGAGGAGTGGATGGAGGTGCAGTGGAAAAGGATGGAACAAGAGTGGGAGAGAAAATTGGGAGAGCTTTCTGAAAAAATGGAGAAAGAGCTCTCTGTGAAATTGGAAAAGAGGTTGGAGAAGGAGACGAAGAATTGGGAGGCACAAGTCGAAACTGCAGTAGCCAGGATAAGGGTCCTAGAAGTTGAGATAAACAGACTGAAGTGAGTTACAGAGGGAGTGACCAGAGAAGACACAGCATATGAAGCTGAGAGGCCGAACAGGAAGGAAAGAGATATGAATTATGCTAAGGTCATATCAGCCTGCCAAGAAGGGCCAAGGAGTGAAAGGGAAGAGCAGCTGGGTGCAGATGGAGAGGGTGATAGGTCGAATGCTGAGGCACAACCATGCTACCAAGAGCCACTGGAAAAAATCAAGGGAGAAAATGACCACATGCAGACAGGATCCAGAGTCACAGAGGGAGAGGCAATGGGAGGAGGGAAGAGCAAAATCAGTGTTTATCTATGGGCTTCAGGAGAGAGAGGAAAGGACACACATTGAAAGACAGCAGGAAGAAAGGAGATTGAGAAAATCATCACAGAAATAGGTTAAGAAAATATGGACAAGATTGTAAATTTTCAGAGAATAGGGGGATGCTTGAAGGGGAGAAACCAACCGATCAAGCTGATTCTTAGGACAGAAACAGTGTGGAACAGGATCCTCCAAGAGAAACCACGGTTGAAATACTCGGAAGAGTACAAGAGGGTGTTCCAAGACAGAGATGGAACACAAACAGAATGACAGCAGCTGAGGGAGAGGACAAAAAAGCGAAAGGAGCTAGGAAAGGAGACAAGGATGGAACCAGAGAAGGTCAGTCAGAGCAGAACAGAGCAGCAAGGGCAAGCACACACACAACTATCCTCAGAACCAAACAACCTATTACACCATCCCAACACACACACTACAGTCCATACCCACAGCTTCCACCCAACAACCATCTATAGAATCCCACAGTATGCTACCAGGTCTCCCACCCTCACAGGCTCCCCAAACCACAGTGTTGGAAAGGACTGAAGGTATGGTACACAAATGCTGATGGAATAACAAATAAGTGGGAGGAGTGGCACGAAAGAGTCAAAGAGGCATCACCGGACATCATAGCTCTCACAGAAACCAAGCTTACAGGTATGATAACAGATGCCATCTTTCCAACGGGATATCAGATCCTGAAGAAAGACAGAGGGAACAGGGGGGGGTGGAGGAGTGGCACTGCTGATCAAAAACCGATGGAATTTTGATGAGCTGGAGAGAGGAGACAGCGGAGAAGAAAGTGATTACATAGCGGGAACGCTTCACTCTGGAGGTCCCAAGGTGGTAATTGCAGTGATGTATAATGTTGAGAATTTTGGCCTTACCTGCTGTGTTTATTATAACTATATATAATGAACACTTAGCTGATAAATGACAGCAAATCGTCTACACAGCCGCCCCTGCAGACGAGGTCTAGAAGCTGTCGAAACCTTCACAACATTGGGCTGTCAAGAGATACAATTTGTAAGTAAAAAATTACCCCTAGGGGGTGTTATGTCAGCATATTTCATTCGATGATGCTGACGAAATACCTACTTGTTTGGGAAACTCAAAAGTCCACACCTTACGCCGATTATAGGTTGATTTACAAACTCCTTGTGACCAAGAATTGCGCAATCCCCCGATCTACAAGAAATTCGTAACATACCTTGCTCTTTGTAACGTGAGCTATGGTGTTCTCAACACCTTCGACAGGTATCGGTGACTTGATAGAAGCTGAAGTGCCTTGGAGTCACGTTTTCCATTGTCTAGGAAACGCACACTGTACACTATGTTCCACAAGATTTTGTCTTTATTGTTCACAATGTATCACAAGAGAAGCTGATCACACTTCTCTTAAGTGTTTATTGTGTTTTGTGAGACACTTTTTTCACACTAACGCACAGATCAGTGTTCTTTGTTGTTACCTGGCTCAGTGTCACTCGTAGTAGAGTACAAAGTTAAGTCTCGCCAAGCCCACCGCCCCAAGCCCGTCACTGCCCTAATACAAAAAAAAAAACCCGCTAAACCTAGTACCTTTGCATCCTTTGTCACCTCCTCGATGAAGCAAAGCAGAATGTTTGTTTTCTTGCTGTCTAAAGGGCGGTAGACAACAATTGTACACTATTTTACAAATGTAAATAAAGTGGGACAGGATTTTCCTTAATTTGGGTCCTGCTAAGTAAGAATGTTTTGTCTCTTATAAAAATACACTTTGCAACACCACTGCAAGGAGCAGAGGTCACTTGACTACGTTCGCATAGCATCTGTGAATCAATTACTCACTCTAGCAGTAAACAAACCGCTCGCCCCATTCGGGAGTGGCCCCTCAGGGTTTGAGAGGCTTGGCCCCTCAGGGCTGAAAGGGCTGAAAGGGCTGAAACCCCCTCCCTGGAGAAAATTTCTCCACACTGGGGGTTGCGGAGGTTCCTGCAGTGAACTATTCACACTTAACATTAATTTAAATTTTCTCACTCGC